ATGCCCGAACGATCAGTAAGGCTTACGTCTACAGAATCCTGCGTTCTCGATCAGTACTCGAAACGGTTGACACCTTCTAGATCTTGATCGCTGCCCGGAACGATTGGCAAGACTTATGACTATAAAGGCTTTCTATTTCGACTAATGCCCGAAACGATGACAAGAACCGATCTCGATCGCTCGCACCTACGTAGTGTGCAATTTAACCTACGTTGTGCCGAAGTGCTGCTACCATTGCCCAGTGAAACGGGATTGGGGAAAAACATACTGATTGGTTTTTCTTACGAATGTTTTATTCCAATCAGCGTGTCTCCCTGAAGATCGAGTCCATCCCCTACTTGTCCTTAATATGTCTTAAACCATAGACTAGACCGTGCTAGATCTGACTTTCCTCATTCTGAAGAGGTAATTGACGACTGAGAAATATTCTCATATAAGGACGAGAAGTATATTCCGGTAAACCCATATTTTTGACTAATTTTGTGGGTAACATTGACAGTCTACTACCTTATCGCGTAGCTATCGCAGTCTTTAAGTTGTCACTTCCCAAATTCGAGACTTGTCCTTTTACTTTCGATTTACGTATTAACTGACTGATTAGTTTTGATTGATATAATCATAAATGTAGTTGAGATACCTGGACCTGAAGTTTGGACACCTAGAAAAATTATATGAATTACGTCTGCATTTATAAATACAACAGAACCTTACTTTTCATTCCCATGAAAAATCGAAAGAACAAATAGTATTTTTGTAATTGTGCATCTCAGTAAATATTATCATTATTTTGAATTACAGCATTTATAACTTTTAGTGTAACGAATTTTGGGTTCAGAGGTTGGTTGTGCTAATTTACAATCCTTCAAGTTGTCACTTGCCAATTTCGACACTTGTCCTTCAATATTCAAAGTTGCAATGAAAATTCCGCTGATGGCCAGTTCGCAGTTGCACAGTCGCCGGGAGTTTATTGCAAATCTGCATATTTTACCGACGTAACGCGGATGGGAAGTTGAAAAGCGGTCGGCGACGTTCCAAATATTGTTTCCGAACTGAAAGTCTACCAGGACAGGAGGGTGAACATTTCTCCCGTGCGTCATACTTAATTCAGAAAGTAATTAACATTTTAGCAATCATACTGTAAGCGCGTTACGAAAATAACATTCGAACTCAATTGCTGTTATCGACAGACGAGAGTATTTTCACTCAGAAAATTCGTCAAAATCAAAACTTTAGAAACCGAAACCGATACATTTAACTCGAGAATGACCGTAATAAGATTATTTTGCCTCAATATTATATTGCAATGAAGAAATTATGTTCGCAATTATTTACATTGACAATGATTACCGGAAAAAATATTAATTTGTAACCAAATTGTATGTACTACGGGATTGGGATTTCGACAGCGAAAAAAATGTAGAGTGAAACGTAGATATATGTTTATTAAAAAAAAGTTCACTCATACTAATGTAGACTAACACTATCGGAGTAACAATACCGTAAGTTCAGAACTTGAAAAGAAACTAGGATGGTTCACGGGGACTAGTTTTCCCATTCTCTTCGTGATGGTCCAAGCTGTCCACATCGTGGCAGAAGGTGCTGTCCTTCGAAATTCCCATAAGGAAACTTACCAGAAGCGGCAGAGGGAAAAAAGCGATGTTTTGGGGTCTGTCTTACCTTTTTATACCTGCGGGAGGGATTCGAAATAGGATCCTGTATTTTTTAGGTGAGGATGGAGCTTTTTAACACAAGGGCGCTAGTCTGGTGGTGAATCTTAGAACTTTTCCGTTCGCTGCGCTATAAATTCCTATTCTCATACATTTTTTTAAAAAAAACGTTCATTACAATTGAAAATATTAGACTATACAGAGTGTTCTGTAAAAAGTGTTAGAGTCAGAAATGATAGAGTGGTAGGGTCATTCTGAATGACAATTGTCTTTGACAAATAAAATGGGGCTTGATCTTCGAATTATAAGCGAAAAACACTGACTAATGAGAGCGTACGATTCACAAAGTGCTCAGTGACGGACTTCTTGACTCGAGTAGTGACACCCGAGCATAGTCAAGGAAACAAGTCCTCCACTCAGTACGAAGCGTTTTAAGAAAATAACGAATAATAAATTACATAAATAACAATGCAAGGAAATTGTTCGTTCTTTATTATGAATAAAAATTAATACACTTCATCGTTATTCATGTGGAATGGGTGGGAAAAAGAGGAATTTAATAAGATAAATAAGAAATTAAAAAATCGCAGCGAACATTGAATTTAAAAGAATTGCAAAAATAGTACAGATTGGATTTACCCATTCATCCGCAACTGCACTTGCTCCGAGGAAGATGGGTCATCCTGCCGATCCTTGCCGCTCGCAGGTCACTTACACTATTCACTGTCACTTTTCAGTCCACAATTTTCCGATCATCTGTTCTACCTGCTCGATCTCGTTCCTCTGGCTATGTCCGGGTGTCACGACTAAAGGACCGTCACCGAGCGCGGGCTCTCATTAGTCAGTGTTTTTTCACTTACAATTCAAAAACCAAGTCCCATTTTACATTTTGTCAAAGGGAATTGTTGTTCAGAGTGACCCTCGCACTCTGCCATTTTCTTAACACTTTTTACGGAACATCCTGTATAAGCAAAGAATTACACATAATACATACAAAAAGGAATTGTATATACCATATGGAGGTACTTTTAAGATGAAATCCAAATTATGAAATAAGAAATTTTATTCATAAATCAGTGAAAAAACGTGAATTTGCAAATAGAAGGTGTATAGAGTGAGTGTAAAAAAATGACTAAATTTTTTAAACCTGTAAGCGAGCCATGAAAAGATTTTTAGAATAAATTAAGGAACGTGAGTGTCAGTGCGAGAAAAACAAGAAATTAGAGATTAATAAAAATAAGGTAGATAAATATGAACGTAAAGAGTGGAGAATGTGAACAAAGTTAATATAACATTATATAATGATATAATTTCAAACAGGCAATTACCATAGGATTCATTACGTGTTAATTAATTAATGTATGCACAACATATTAAACATATTTGTTGATATAATTGCTAATATAATTTAATATTACCACATTATCCTGTTCCGTTCATTGTACCTGCGTTGTTCATTCTCAAGTAGGTATAAAAATCTCATTTTTGCACTTCGTAATGACTTATAAATTAATACCATTACGAATACATAAAGCGTTAAAGTTTCTCTTAGAAATTGAATTTTAAATTCCATTTCTTACAGTTCGACAACAGATGTCAAATTGTAATATCAATCTTAAACAACTAATTACTCCATTCAAATACGAAATATTCTCGCGTCGATCCACCCGTTCGCAAATCACGATTCCTGTCGATGTTGCTGAATTTAATCTTGGAGGGTAGGTCGTCGTACGACGAACGCAAATTGACAAACAACCGTGCGATACGACTTTGTCGCCGAGTTCGGCAACTTCGGATCCGTCGGCATAACTAATGTGCTATAGGGACTCGCAACTTTTCAAATTATGACGTCGAAGCGGTACTAACGTGTAATTTATGAAAACGTACATTCGACTAATGCGAAAGGAAAAAGCAGAGAAGTTTTATGCTAGATTTCACTTGTTATGTTTCAATGAAAAGTACCAATGTATTAGCAAAATAATTGAAGCTACTTATTATTAGTATATGATTATAAAGATTTATGTTTCAATAAAAACTATCAATAAATAGCATAGTTGGAACTATGTACTATTAACATGATTATAAAGATTTCAATTGTTATAATTTAATAAAAACTATTAATAAATTATATTGATAAAATAATTGAAGTTATGTATTATTAATACTGTTACCATTCAACACATTACATAAACAAATTGCAATTACTTGTTCGAAATAAGTAACAAATAATCTTAAAATAAATTTTTAAATCAGTACAATAGCAATAATCTAATTATTTATACAAAAGGATAATGATATCGTCACTAAAATACAAATGTACTTTATATGATACATCGTAAATACAAGCTCAGAATGTTATGTGTGTCACTGTAAAACCCTTTCGGTACGGGTGCCGGATATATCCGGCGTCCATCTGATGACCTGTGTGGGCGAGTGCCGAATATATCTAATATCTATTTCTTAATATTAAAGTTACAAACAACACTTGGAAGAAAGCATTGTTTTATTAAGCATAGATCATATATAAGGTTAGGAAAGTCTTCACACAAAGGAGGACTGACCATGTGCTACGTGCGCGTTTTCGGCGGGGCACCTCGTACAGCGGGAGTGTCGCGGCGGAAAGAGCGCTCGTACCGAAGGGGTTAAACCAGGACTGACTCATTGTCAGTTATACTGCCCTAATTATCTAGTAGCTAAAAGGGACTGTCCCTCCCTCGATCGTCCACATCAAATAGCCACCGAGACTAAAAACCCGAATATACATATAATTGTGAGTCGCCTCGGGTCATCCGTAGGGCCCTTGGCACGGTTATCCTCGTAACAAACATATTAAATATGTACTCGCAAATTCAATAAAATAACTCGACAACCACACCTCGGACAACATTTTGACAAAGGAAAATGTTGTCTAAAATAACTTCCATTTCGGAGTCTAACACTACTTCTAGGACATTCTGTATGTACATAAATAACACGTTGAGTACCGCGCTATCTATTGATAACTCGATTTTCCATTAATATAGTTTTAATTATTTCATGTACGTATCTAAAAGAATAATTATCTTCAAATAATACGTAATATCATTAACTAATTCATAATTATCATACTTAATACTGTTGTTGCACCGTGAATCTCCATAATACATAAGTCATTTTTATTTCTTATTCTAATTTTTAATGTTTAAAATGATATAAGTGGTTTAAAATCGAATTCGATTAGTACAACTTGGAAAATAAATGGAGTAAAAAAAAGAAAAAAACGTACTATTAAATTAAAAAAAGACGATGCATTGTAAATCGTGGCAGTAGTTCTCGAGTTACAAGCGTGTAAACGGGCAGACAAGCATATGTAAGCATGTCATCGCGCAGGAGCAGGATTGACTTTTGGTTCGGAGATAATGGTATCGTCAAGGTTGAAATTTATAATGATGCATTAAATACACATCGTTCACTGCGTTGCCAGTCATTTTCGTAAGCGGGTACTATCGAATAATATCGTTTATGTAAAACAACTTAAAAATAATTCGGCGTAATTTTAATATTGTGGATAAACACATATCTAAATTACTATAATAACAAGTGTGAGACAATACGTATTAAATAGATATATCTGATTACTTACGATTATTCTTTGCTCGATAGCTATAGATGAGAAAGTTCGCAGAGTAATAATTACACAAAGAGAAATTAAATGACAAAATGAAGAATTATCTAGCTTTGTGTTGGACCATACCACTTTTATTAATCTTCGCAAAAATAAATACGGTGAACTCTGGAAAAATATTAATAATAATTCCAGCGCCATCGTTCAGTCACCAGATCGTTTACCAAAATTTAATACGTGAATTGAGTAAACGCGGCCACGAAATAGTTTACGTAACACCAAATCCAATACAGGATAAATCGCTAAATAATTATAAGGAAATCGACATGAGCATCGCATACAAAACTTTAAGCACCGTTAACGTGACTCAGATCTCAGTAGATTACAAAAGTCTCACCAAATTTGAGATCGACGAAATAGGACACTACTTGTTCCAGCAGTGGCTTATAGACTTTTACAGTCTCCCGGAAGTGAGGAAAATCATTGAAAATAGAAACGAAGAGAAATTCGATGTGGTTATCTGCGAGGGCCTTACGGGTATTGGTTACTTTGCCATGGCTCACATACTGAACGCTCCTCTAATTGGTTAGTCCACAAAAATGTTTCTTTACATTTTTCTTATATCAGGTCATTCATAAGTTCGTGTCATGGACGCACTTATATTTATATTTGCATTTACATGGATTATAAGCACAAGAATATGTGTGTGTGTGGTATACGTACAGGGTGTCCCAGAAAAAATGTTAGAGCCGAAAAGGGATGATTCTCGACGTATTTCTAAACAACAATTTCCTTTGGTAAAATGCAAAGTGAACCATGGTTTTCGAATTATTAACGAAAAACACTGAACAATGAGAGCGTAGGGCCCGTGCCCAGTCACGGGTTGGTTGGTTTGGATCGTGACGCTCGGCCGTGACTTAGCGCTGGCCCTACACGTGCTCTCATTGGTAAGTGTTTTTCGTTAATAATTTAAAAACTATGCCTCACTTTGCATTTTAGCAAAGGAAATTGTTGTCCAGAAACACTTACAGAATCATCTCTCTTCGACTTTAACACTTTTTCTGGAACACCCTGTATAACGAGAAGAGATTTTGGAAAAAGATAACTACATTTTTTTAATATTTGTAATATTAGTAAGTATATTCAATACATAATGTTAAATACTAAAATAGAGAACAGCACTAAGTTATAGGATAAGCTATATCTAACAAATAATACAGATACATATGCATACGTATATGTATGTATAATAATATTGAATATGTATAATAACCTTCTTTGTACAGTTATGACGTCCGTGGATCTCCACATGTATCATAATTATTTACTCGGATCACCTATTCTACCCTCGCATCTCTCGAATTTGGAATTCGCCCATCGGATCAAACCGGACATGTCCTTTTGGGACAGAATTGTAAACTATGTCCACTCTATGTTCGCTTTGGGTCACTGGTACTACTATAATACGGGAAGGCACGAGAAAGTGGCGAGGAGTTTAATTGGATTCGATATACCGCCGCTAATGGATATCGCGAAGAACGCCAGCTTATTTATAGTCAATCAAGATCTACTACTCGGATACGCGACACCGTTACCACCCAACGTCATTCAGTTCACTGGCATGCACCTTTCGAAGGACTTTCCAGCTTTGTCAACAGTAAGTTATCATTTTTCATTATTTGTTGATCTAATCACGAATAGACTGCAACGTGGTGAAATGTAAGTGTATACGTGTATGGCCACATTCTTGTTAGGATTTATGGTCGTGAATCATTTCCATCAATTCTTAGAAAAAGTGCTCACGAGCTTAGAGTCATCTCTATGATTCTTCTTCATATCCCTCTGTTGTTGTCTTGCTCATACAGTGTACTGTTTATTTGAAACACATCTGTCTGGTATATGGCTAAACCCGGTCCCGATCGGTGGCCATATATTCGGCCACTACTATACTTGGTTTAGTATCGTTATCCTTGTCAAATCTTGAAAATGAGACCTTAACGTTCAAAGCCTGTACTAAGCTTTGAACCGGATAATAATCTATATACTGCCCGAAACTTGACACCACTTCAGTATCTCACTTACACCTATCCATTGTTCTCGTTTGAATTTAGTTGCATTCTAGGAAGTTACTTCCTCAAGCAACATATGTATACAATTCATCCTTTAAAAAAATACTTTAAATGTTTTATTTTCCATAGAAATCCTTCTTTTTTATTTTGTATAATGTCTAATTATCAATCCACTGCGAATAATAATGTTCTCCAGATAATTGATCGTAGAACTAGTATAAAAATTTGAATGTCTTGACACATCATTTATTAACAAGAAGAAGAACTATCAAATCGGGTCGAATTTTTGTTCGAAAATTTTTCTGTTCAATCAAGCCGACCATTTAACGAACTCTTTCTTCTTTTTAAACTGACGTAAACAACAGTCACGTTCAAGCATCGAATTCATAAGAATTTAGATCGATAGAATCCAGGCAGCGATATCTTTGACAATTCTATTAATTAGAGCAATCGTTCGGCCATGCGCTCTAACTTCTAATATTTATTAGAGATTTTAATAGTTTTGTTCAAAGCTTATAGTCAAAGAATCATCTGTTAAAATAATTAAGACGTTTTCAATTTTTTTTTAGGAATTGAATGAATTTTTGGGGAATGCCACCAATGGATTTATTTACATGAGTCTAGGCTCTAATGTGAAATCGGTCTTTCTGCAAAAGCACTTAGTGAAAACGATTTATAATGTCTTCTCTAGATTACCGTACAAGATTTTATGGAAGTACGAAGCTGACGACATACCAAGAAGCAGCAACATTCTTACTGCCGAATGGTTTCCTCAACGAAGTATTCTTGGTAAAAAAATAAAAAATATGTTTTATTACATTTTATGATTAATTGATAAATGCAAATATTTCTCTTATAGTTAACTATTTTATGAGATTTTTCTCACTGATTGATGAAATTTACATAGAGATTCCTGTATTTCCCTTCAGTTCCTTTATAAACTATTTTAACTATAATTAATTGTCGGTTTCAGCTCATCCAAATATAAAATTGTTTATTCAACAAGGCGGACTGCAAAGTACAGAGGAAGCTATCCATCATGGGGTACCAATGATCGGTATTCCGATGATGTTCGACCAATTCTATCGAGTGCAGAAATTAGAGTCGCTGGGTATTGGCAGAAAACTCGAAGTCGAGGAAATCAACGAGGACACGTTCCACGAAGTTGTTTACGATGTACTCAATAACAAAAGGTAATTTGCACCCGAGCTTGCCTGTTTAAAATTGCAGGTCGTCTCGATAAGCTCGAGTCTACACCAAATCGTGTACACTGCGTGTCTTTCGAAGTTTACATTCTAACTTAACAGGGGGAGTTGCCGGGCGCGCGTACATAACTTGTATTATTTATGAACGGCGAACACTTTGTGCGTATCAACTGAACAACTCGCAAGTTTGCCAGCGCAAACGTAATATTAAACAAAATTTATTGCCGCACGATGCAAATTTCAGTGAGCGTCGACGAAATACAATTTGAATTAAATTATAGTCACTCGTGTATCTATAGTATAAAATACACTAGCCCGGAGCACTTAAATGAATTTAATTATTTATGTATTCCATTAAGTGCCATCCTAAATTCAATTGCACAACAGGGAGTATAATTTTGTGCATTTTCCTCTTTGACTTCAATAAGTATTATGTTTTTTGTTTTCAGTTACAAAGAGAAAGTTATGGAGTTAAGAAGATTAATGAAGGATAAGCCGTACGAAAGTAAAGAGAACGTAATTTGGTGGGTGGAGTACGTGATGCGAAACAAAGGCGCGCCACATCTTCGATTCAGCGGCGCGGACGAGTCATGGTTTCGACGGTACGATACGGACATTATTGCGTTCCTATCTATCATTTTATTCCTCGTAACCATTATTTGTGCAATAGCTTTCGTACGAATTCTACGCTGGCTCTTCAAATATGCATTGCTAAAGTCTGATTACAAACCATTGTTAAATAAACACAAAAATGAATGAACTAGGGAATAAATACTGATTTTAATGTATTGCATACATGTAATTGAATTTTTAGTTCTGAAGATTAAATCTAACTTATTCATCTTAAATCATTTTCTGTATTTAATTTTATGCTAGGAATAAGATAAACGAGTGTTATATGTATTTAAATGTATGAGAATATTCACATTTCATTAATGCTGACACGTATCATAATCATAAAGCATAAAGATGTTCAATGAAGTCCATAAATATTCGAATATATTTCGAAGTTCAATAACAATTTTTAACATTGGATTTAACGAATTACTTTTCTTTTAAATTTTAGAGAAATTGATTTGCTATACGGATCTGTAATAAAAAGTAAAAGATCAGCAAAAAACATGATACAAATTTTTATTACAGGGTCAGAAAACATAGAAATTGTGTCTATTGTATCGTGTATATGTATTGAGTCCATTAAGAAGTCTCAAAAATGTATTTCGATTCATTAAAATGAATCCATTACCATATGATTTCTACCATTATTCCTTTTGCAATTGCATACACATATTTTGATATTCAAAGTTTCCATACGAGCATACAAATTCAGTTTACTTATTAATAAAACTGAATACTCTTTTCCGAGCCACGAAGCGCGTTTTCCATACGCGTTTTCAGCCAGGCTATCATAGCGTTTCGGATTCATCAGCCGTGGTAATACCATGGGCTTACCCGAACGTTGCCGACTTAACTTGAACCTCAACGGAACTTTCAGGAAGTAGATTGCCTTGATCGGAACTCGCGTGTGCGTCGCACACAAGAACGGGAACGAACGATGGATATAGAAATATCCATGGGACGTACTTTGAGTCAGGGAAACGGGAATTTCGAATTACGCGATTCGTCTGACAAGTTTTGCATTCTACGATCAACATGACGGAATCTCGTGACAGTTTTGAATCGATTCGACCAATAATTTCCGTCAGTTGTCGATCCTTATCAGTCGCCGTGAATAATATTTACACGTGAGACAATTTATTTGAGGAACTAAGCGGCTTCGTTCGAGCAAACTATTGTTTAAACTCAATTATCGAACATTTTCGCGAATAGAGTTATATTGAATACTATATTAGAACTTATGACACATGATTATTATTGATATTTGCATATGAGTCAATTTTGCTTTATTGACAATTCTTCTCAAGTCAGGTTTTAAAGCATATTTGAATTTGAAGAATTAATAGATGACGGAACCAGCTCAACTAAACCGTTTTCAAAACTCAATTATTATAGCTTTTAGGATTGTTTACTATTGTGTAGGATTAAGGTCTTTGTTAGAGAATATTGTTCAGTTTAAGCAGAACATTTTCTTTAGTTAATATGGCGGAAAAGATGGTCGGGGCATTAAAGCAACAACAATGTTGTTAGAACGAGAATATGTTAGAAGTAACATAGCTACTTCAAACAATAATACTCGGGTTTTGTTTACAAAACTCTGATTGTGGGAAGCAATAATAAATGTCCTTTGGAGTGCTTTATAAACGTTTTAAACCGGCTACTGAATAATAAATTACAACTTGCCTCCTCAATTTATAAGTTGATCGTGCGCGTAATCTAAGCAAACAAAATAAAGCGCGAGCAATCAATTACGAGGACGCGACGCGCCGCGAAGAAATTCTCTACGGATTAAAGCGACCATAATTCCTAATTACCGTCCGTAACGATTAAAACGTCACAGAGTAGGTTTCGCCCGATGGTCCCGAGCAAAACAAATAATTCTGTGCTATATCAGACTGAAGAACGAGTTGAGGCAGCGAGACAAGTGGAAAGAGACGACGCGTGTGCTTCTAGCGTTCCGCGTCAGACAAGTTTCGTCTTTGCCTTAACGGTGTTCCGCGATGCATTATGCAGAGTGGCAAGACCTTCAAGGAAACGATGAGAGCGAGCGAGATAGGAATAGAGAGAGAGAGAGAGAGAGACGGAAAGATGTTTCGGACGATCCTCGCGTCGCATCGGGCCGTTCGTCGAAGAAAGTTGTTTCGGCTCTTCGTGCTCGGAATCGAAGCGACGGAGGTATGCATAATGATTCAAAGTGTCGGTAGTTTCGAGATCAAACAGGAATCCTTAATTTTCAAGTTAGCGAATTTTCTAAAAGGATAATTTCCCTCTTCGCGGAATTTCTATCGAACGAATTGATTAGGCTCTTAGCTAGCCGTGTTGTTTCAGTCAACTGAAAGAAGGTAGCGACATCCATTTTAATATGAAAATATTACGCTACTGTTGATAATGCAAATTTTGTACTATACATGTGCAGTAAGTTATTACATTTTAAGAAACTATAATTTCATCAAAGTTCCATAACAAACTCAATGAACATTACAATTCATTCAACGAGAAGGAGCATCAGAAGAAACGAAGACGTATCGAAGAAACGAAGATCTATTATACATATACATAGTTGTGATTGTCAATTGTGATCCTTACAACCCATTCAGACAATGCAATGTTTTAACTGATTCGATAATAACTGAAAGCAACTTTCACATATTTTTGTATTGTAGATATTGATTAAGTACTCTTGAAGTATGCTTAAAATACGGAAACGTCTGAAATGCTGCTTTCCAATTCTAATTTTGCCAATATTTGGCAAACTTACTGATTTGTTCAAAGCATCGTCTGAACAAGCTCATATTGTAACTTGCATTTTTTGATATTGATGCAATGAATGGATCACGTTACACAACTTTAAAAAGAATCAGGCCAGAACTTCAATTACCAAACTCAATCTTAATTATGACAAAAGCTGTCAATAAATATTTCCTAATAATTAATCGCATGAGATATGATTCCATCATATTAATAATTGCTTCAGCAATCAATCTTATACGAAACTCAATTGTTGAAAAGTATGAAGGGTACATATTACATATTAAGTTTGTACCAGAATCTGCTGTGCACGAACCCGAGGAAATCGGGTCACAAGGCGGGCATGCCTCGATCAAAAATGCATACTAGCACGTTGCATGTCGCGCCGATCGCCGCGCGCGAAATGCACACCCGAGGCTGCATCGAATGCCTTCGTTGAGCAGGGTGTGCAGTACGCGGGACACGCGTGACACGCGACACGTGTCACACTCGCCCGATCGGCCAAGCAACTCGATTTATACCCAAACATATGTACCAGATCGTGTCGTCAGTTATGCGTTGTAATCGAGCCTCAGGAATTCCAACCCGATTGATTCCTGATTCTAATGATTCTATCTGTTAACGCTGACCTTAATCTAAATGATTTATTAATGACTTGGTATATTACTTACTATACAATTTCTCGTTTGACTTATTACCTGTGATTTTTTAAATAATGTTATATGATCTGATTATGTTCTTTTATTTGCAAATAATTTTATTAAATTGTTCATAATTTAATATACAATTTAGAATGCTTATTAAACTGTTCATGATTTATTACACGATTGAGTATATAATTTACCATTTGATTTTCTATGTATAAGTGATTTTTTAAATAATGTTATATGATCTGATTATGTTCTTTTATTTGCAAATAATTTTATTAAATTGTTCATAATTTAATATACAATTTAGAATGCTTATTAAACTGTTCATGATTTATTACACGATTGAGTATATAATTTACCATTTGATTTTCTATGTATATATATATCATAATTTATCAAAATATCATTTATTGTGTACGTAATTTGTTATATGATATTATAAACTTGTCAGCAGAAGATTTCTCAAGTATATCAATATAGGATTACAGTTATATATTATTTTATGATTTTCCATTAGGATATTTTATTATATTTGAAACAGTAGTCAATGAATTCTCGTCACTTTAAACCAGTAATTTAGCTGCGTTAATACTGTATCTGTTATACTTTCGCCGATAGTCGGCTCGCCCATTCTCTCGCTTTATATCCCGCTAAACGTGTTTCCAACGAATTGGATAGCCACGTTTGTTTATGAGGGTGCAAATGTTTTGCCACTGCCGCGGTAAATTGTTTACTCGTCGGAATAGCCACGGTATGCGCTTTTAATTTACACGGTCGCGGTGTCGTTGAAGCCCACTTTATGAGCGCAACTCGCACGTATATTAATGAA